GCTACCAATATTTTTAATAAAAAATATTAAAGATAAATTATTTTAACAAAAAAAGGTATACTTGTTAATATCTTTAAATGAATGAAATGAGGTTGAATGCTCGAATAAATGAACTTTGAAAATAAGGCTATTATCGAGCACAAGTTAATTAAATCTAGCCCAAGTACTTTCGCTTAAAATAGCATCTTCAGGGGCATTTCGTCAAAATGTGAACTATCCGGCAAGCGTAGAATGTGGAAACATTAAAAATAACATAAATTGTACAAAACACTACACTAAAAGGAGGACAAACAGTTTAAAATTACTTCTACGCTACATTCTCTGTCAGTATCTGGAGGAATAATAATGTTATTCAGGTTTTTCAACTAGAAAACGCGTCTTCTTCGTACGCTTCTCCTACCCTCTATTTTCCTTAATTATGAGTCTCAAGATGTTGTATCTTTCACCTCTCATCACATGTCTGAGATATTGCAATTTCCTTTCTTTTATTGTATTTTCCATTTCCCTCTCTCTGCCTATTCTCCTTAACACTTCACAACCTTCAACAACCTTAACAATCTTCTAAATATCCACATTTCAAATGCGTTAAGTCGATTTATTGTATTCCGGTTTAATGTCCATGATTCAGCTCCATAGTACACTGTGTACATAGCATTTAATTAGCCTTATTCTGAGGGTCAATGTCAGATCTTTGCTGCATAAAATCTTTTTCATTTTCTCGAAGTTGGCACGTGATTTTTTAATTCTGACTCTTATTTCTGCAGTATAATCGTTATTTTCTGTGATTATCGTTCCCAAGTAAGTATATCTTTTTACTCTCTCAATTTGGTTCGGTGGGTGGAATTTGGTTTTTTTGATGTTAAGAGAGACTCCGTATTCTCCACTATATCTTAATATTTTGTTCATTATTCTTTCTAAGTCTTCTAAGTTGTCGGCTATTATGACTGTATCATCGGCATACCTAATGTTGTTAATTAAACTTCCGTTCACTTGTATGCCAATTGTCTCGTTTACCAAAGCTTCTTGTATGATTTCTTTAGAGCATTAAACAATAACGGCAACAGTATGCAACCTTGTCTGACCCCTTTCGTTATCTCCACTTCTTCTGACACTTCTTTTCCAATTTTTACATTTGATCGTTGGCTGTAGTATAAATTTGATATCGATGTTACATCCCTCACATCCAGATTCTTGTTTTTGAGTACTTCTATAAGTTGGTTATGTTTTACCTTATCGAATGCCTTGCTGTAGTCTATAAAGCATGCATAAAGATCTCCATTAACATCCAAACATCTTTGGGTCAGCACGTTAAAAGAAAATAGTGTTTCTCTTGTGCCCACTCCATTCCGAAATCCAAACTGGAAATCACTAATATCCATCTCCAGCTTAGCGCGTATTCTATTAAGATATTAAGATATTTAAGGTATGTGACATTAGACTGATCGTTCGATTATCACTACATTCTTTGGCATTTACTTTCTTTGGTAGACACATAAATGTTGATGTCAGCATTTCACGTGGAATGATTCCTGAGGAATAGATTGTGTTCAGTAGTTGGACTAAAAGATCTATGTTTTTTTCATAAACCAGTTTTAACAATTCACTTGGTATTTCATCTGGACCAGCAGCTTAATTTTTTTTTTCATGGAGTTTACTGCATGCATAACTTCTGACTTTGTTATTTCGGGTCCCTCGTCTTTACCCTGATTATTTTCATATATATTTTCTTGTCTCTGGTCATGGAATAATTCCTCTATATATTTTTTCCATCTTCCTAATTTTTGTTCCGTCTCCACTAAAATGTTTCCTGGTTTCTTCAGTAGTATGCTTGAGGTTTTTTGTTTTGCTACCCCAGCTAATTCTTTAACTATCTTATGGAGATTGAAATTGGATATGATAAATCTTAAACAAATCTTTTTATAAATCTACTGCTTGACCCACTCTGTTGTAGTCAGTGGTTTTTTGTTTGCAAATATAGTAAATAATTCTCCAAAGAAAGTGCAAAAAATATGGCATAGTTGGTTAAGTTTCGGTTCCGTGTATTTTTGACCACAAACCAAAGTAATGGTATTTCCCTCTGTAAATATTTTTCTATAAAAATTAATGTCTTCTCGATTTAATTTCTTTTTTTTACTGTACTATAAGAAGTGATGGAGTTCAACTAGTGTTTAACAAGCGATGTGTTTTCGAAGACCCCTGACAAAGGGTTAGATATTTTTGATAACTTTCGTATTTTTTTTATATTTTTATCTTTTGTTTTCTTCGTCTATTTTAAGCTTCTTATTTTCTATCTAATTGGGCTACAAGCATAATTTTTTCTCAATAGGAAGACGCTCAGTGTAAAGGCCACGAAAACTATGAAATGACAAGTTTCTGGATGCACATTTAAAATGAAGAAAAAATGAAGAAAAGGAAAATCCCAATAAATGAAAAAATGGAGAGTGTTTCAATTTTAATACGAATTGCGAATAAAATGACATAGTATGTAGATTAAGTACACTACACGAAATGTCAAATAAAATTATCCGTTGTTAAAATATCTTGATATAATAAACCACAAATTCTAATTCTTCCGTTTCGACCTCGAAATTAGAAATTTGTGGTAATCTCCAACTCGTGTAAGAAAATAAAATGCCGCAAACAAACAGCTTTAAAGCAATAAAATATTAGGTATTATAATAAAATATGATCTTAGGATAAGAGAAAAAATGTTTAGAATCGTTTATGCAGAATTAAGGTTTCAAATCAAAGATGCAAAGATGCCATCAAAAAACCGTAATGAGAACATAATGAAAACCACTTATTACATGTTTTAAAGAGCAATAATTAATGCTGCAAATTACATGTTGAAATGGAATTAGAATAATAAAATATAACAACAAGGTTAACAATCATTGAACAATTGTAAATGTAAATTATCATTGGTACATAAATTAATATGTATTCTTCGGTTTTCTATGTGACCATCTTCCGGTAGGAATCAATGGAATCAATGACACTGACACCTAAGTTCTTATCTTTTACTGTATTACTCATCCATTTGTGACCAGATCCATTGGTGTATTCTAATTGAAGTTTTTATTGTGGATTTTAAATTACTATATTAATTTTTTTGGTTTTTAGCCCGTACCAATACTTAAACCAAAAACATCTAGACCTAGACCATCCACATTGAAGCGAGTGAGTTCTATAGATATCTTGTTCTAACGATTCCTAAAGACAATCTCAGCTTGTTGGACTATTTAAATACCTTTAAAAGGAAGCAATATAAACCAATGTTTCAAATTCGCGGAACAGAATAATTGAAAATAGAAAGATATAATATTAAAGTCTAATTTTTAAGGAATGAATAAAATTTCTTAAAAATGCTAATTCCGCCTTCTGACACAAAGTTTAACGCACCAAAATAACAGAAATGTAGTACTAATAGAGCATAAATCAACATAAACTGACAGAGGGTTTCCTTAATCTTGGTACACGTTTATCTCTTCTTCTTACGCTACCTTATCCTTAAGGACGTTGGCCATTACATTTGCCCATTTAACCTTATTTGTAGCAGCCCTGAATAGTTCTATGTAGGTCATGTTCGTCCATTGCCGTGCGGTTTTAAGCCAAGAGTTGCGTCTTCTTCCTGGTCCACTTTTGCTATTGACTTTGCCTTCGATTATAAGTTGGAGCAGTTCATACTTTTGATTTCTTATGATGTGACCAAAATATTGTGTTTTCCGTTCTTTTATTATAAGCATAAGCTCTCTTTCCTTATTCATCCTCCGCAAGACTTCCGCATTTGTCGTATGGCTCATGTAGGATATTCTGAGCATTTTACGGTAACACCAGAGTTCGAATGCTTGGATTATTTTTTGTGTTGCTTCTGTCCTTGTCCAGGCTTCAACACCATAGAGCAAGGTGGAGAAAACATAGCACTTAAGTATTGTAGTTCTCAATGAGATGCCCAGCTGGTGGTTGCATATAACTTTTTGCATTTTGTAAAACATTGTACGTGCCTTTTCCAGGCGTATTCTTATCTCTAGAGGGTGGTCCCAAGTTTCATCAAGATTACTTCCAAGGTACGTTGTTCTTGTTACTCTTTCCAGATCTGTTCCATCGACATTGACCTTCACCCTTCTGTTTTGGTGCTTGCTGATGACCATCGTTTTTGTCTTCTTTGTATTCAATTTCATTCCAAATTCTCTACAGGTTGTCGTTACTTGGTCCATTAAGCGTTGCAGGGCTTCAGCATTATCTGCCAGTCTGACAGTGTCATCAGCATATCGCAGGTTATTTATACATTGCCCGTTTATAATTATACCATCCGAGGTGCCTTCCAAAGCTTTCTGAAATATCTATCTCAGAGTAAACATTGAACAGCAAAGGTGATAGGACACATCCCTGTCTTACTCCCTTCGCGATATTGATTTTTCCAGATGTTACGCTTTTTATTATGATTTTAGCCTTTTGTTTTTGGTAGAGGTTTGAAATGATCCTTAAGTCTTTATCGTCGATATTACATGACCTTTACATGACTACACGTTTATAAAAAGTTGAAATAATAAAGCCAGTCTTAAAAATAAAGGAGCAAATACATGGACAGGAGTAAATATTTTTGCTGTCATAGCAAAAGGGTTTTCACACAGCTGATATCAGAAGAAAAAGTTCCAAGCTACTTCATGTCACAAAAAGTATTGGTAACCTAGACGTTTGATTAAATATATGATACAAAAAATAAAACTATCAGATAAAAGAGTGGGAAAGCAAAATTTGTTAGTTATTTCGACCTTTAAAACAGATCAGACTTTTTTTACGATAATGAGCTATTTTTTGTGAACATATGCATAAATATATTCGACTCTTTAATAATTACTACATTTGCACATATTAATAATTTGATTACTTTACAGTAATTATTTAAATATATGTAAATTTGTCATTAAAAAAATTTAAATAAACCTTCTTATGAAACTAGCTTGTCCTCTCAATAACACGAAGTAATAAATGCTTACCTTGTAAGTGGATCAACAACCACTGCAATGACAATAGCCGCAGCTACTATGCACGCTAAGTAGATCGTAGATATTTCATAGATTTCCTTATCATCTGGTCTCTCTAAATTTCCATTATTGTTGATAGTACTAACACAAAAGCTTGCTCCGCATACATCGTAGTTCGGCGTAGCGTTAGCGTGATTGCTGGCACTACCATGTGGGTTGCTGAGAACTAAAAGAAAACAGGGGTTATAATTTACATGTTCTAAAATAAAAATAGTTGTTTTCAAATTGTAAAATGTTAAGTAAGTTATGAAGAGTTTCTCGAATATTAAAACATGTAAGAAACTACATATATCCAATTTAAATAGAACAACAATTTTAAAATACAATTATTACTACATTATTTATGATAAGGGCAACGAATGGGCCACGATTTTTTGAGTACAAAGCCAGTTCCGCACAGGCCAGCAGAGATCCTGTCCTGTGCGGAAACAACTAAGCTGTTAGAGGGTAACATTATATTATATTGTGGACATCTTCCATAATAGTGCAACCTGAACATAGCCTCAAATGAACTTACACGGAACAAAATAATGTGTCTACCAGGGTTGCCATGTCCTTATAATATGTTGTAAGCTTCAAATATAAAGAGAGAAAGCTGTTACAACCTACATTTTCATTATATTTTATTATTATTATTATTATTATTTACATTTATATATAATTACTACATTTTTATAAAGCCATAAGGCGTTATGCAGTAAAATACCCCAATCGAAATACACCCGATAGACAATTATTTCTGACCATTGATCGTCGTTTAAGGAAAACGGGTACATTCTAACCGCAAGTTACTGGCAATGCTGGTCGTCCAATAATGGATGCAACTGATGAAGACATTTTAAAAATCATTGAAGAAGTTCGTAAAACAAGTACAAGGGTAATGGCTGCTCAACTAAATGTTTCTCACGTAAAGGTTTGGAGGCGTTTGAAGAATCAGCTGCTTAAACTCTATCTTGGCAAACGATTTATAAGAGTATTTGGAAGAAGTGAATATTGCAATAAGGCAAAATATGTGGTTTCTACAAGATGGCGCTCCACTGCATTACAGTAATGAAGTCCGGGAATATCTTTGCAGGCAGTATCCTGGTCGGTGGATTGAAAGGGGTCGTGACGCACCTATTTCTTGGCTACCCAGAAGTCCAGGTCTTAACCCCATGGGCTTTTGCTTTTGGGGGTCTATGAAAGAGAATGTGTATTCTGTAACAGACGAACAACAATTGAGGTTTAGAATAATTGAAGCTGCAAATCAATTTCGTCAGAAAAATATGACTTTTCAGCGCATTCGCAGTTTTCCTTATTAAGACGATACCGAATGTGTATTGAAGAAAATGGGGGTTATTTTGAACATTTATTGTAATATCATATTTATAGAGCTTACAGACATTTTTTGTACTTGTTAATTTATTTAAGCCATTTATTTAGTTCCACGTAATTTTTTAAAAGTTAATGACCGTAACTAAGAGCATTATCATTATATAAAAACATGTGTGCAGGAAGCAGCAACAGAGGCTCTCGGACTCCAAGTAAAAAACCACAGAAAAACTTCGTATTGGTGGGACGAAGAATAGAACAAGAGATTAAAAATAAAAGAGAGAAGTATAAAAAATTTCTGAACACAAGGACCGACGCTGATAAGGTAGAATACAAGAGGACCCAAGCTAAAGTTCGAAAAATGATATGCCAAAAGAAGAATGAGGCTTGGGAGCAAAAGTGTAACATGATTAACACACATTTAGGAGGACGGAGAAGTACAGAAAGTTGGAAAGTATTAAAATCGCTACGACAGGAAAAGAAAAGAGATATAATATCATCGATCACACCGGATCAATGGGACGAATATTTTAAAAATCTCCTAAATGAGGACAGAGCGGAATTTTTAAATAACAGTGATACCAGCAACGTAAATATCTTAGCCTCACCATTACGAATAACAACAAAAGAAGTAGAAGAAGTATGTAAGTCTTAAAAAATAACAAAGCACCAGGACCAGGGAACATACCAGCTGAACTAATAAAATATGGCACAACAAAATTATATGAAAACCTGGCTAAACTCTTTCAAAGATACATCAACGGAGCGGAAATCCCAGAAGAATGGAAGACATCATGGATATCCACCATACATAAAAAAGGCAGACGGGATCAATGTGACAACTACAGAGGCATCGCTGTAACGAACTCGATCAGCCGAATATACGGAAAACTAATTAAAAATAAAATCGAAAACGAATATAAAGATATAGAAGCTGAAGAACAGGCAGGATTCCGGGCAGGGAGATCAACGGTAGACCATCTGTTTTGTATTACACAGATTATTGAGAAGAAACTGGCCGTCAACCAGGAGGTACATCTGTTATATGTGGACTTGAAAAAAGCGTATGATAGCATCCCACAAAACAAACTATGGGAAGCATTAGAGAAAACCAATGTATGCGCAAATTTAATAACAGCGACGAAACAATTGTATACCAAAACTGTAGCAAGGGTGAAAGTTGGAAGCGGGCTATCGAGAGGATTCCAAATTAGCAAAGGCCTAAAACAAGGGTGCTGCCTTTCACCGACATTATTTAAGATCTACCTCGAGCAAACTCTAAAACTTTGGAAACGCAAATGCAAAAACATGGGATTACCGATCAACAACAATACAATATACACTTTGTCATTTGCAGACGACCAACTTGTACTAGCGCAAGACTACGATGATATAGAATATATGACAAGGAAATTAATAGAAGAGTACAAAAAAGGTGGTTTGGAAATAAACATAAAAAAGACCGAATATATGTGTATCGGTGGGACACAGCAGGACCTTACACTGGGGAATGGCGAAATTATTAAACATTGCGATGCATATAAATACCTGGGTATGACTATCACACAAGAAGGAAACGTAGACCGGACGATAGAAGAAAGAAACAACCAGGGAAGAAAAGCAATTACCCTTCTCAATAGCATACTGTGGGACCAGGCAATATCAAACAACAACAAACATAGAATATACAATACAATTGTTAAGAGTATAATCACTTACAGCAGTGAAGTATGGCAAATAAAAGAAAGATACAAGAGAAAACTTGAAGCAAGAGAAATGGATTTCTGGAGGCGCTCAGCAGGAAAATCAAGATTAGAAAGGGTAACCAACAACAGAATTAGGGAAATAATGAATGTGAAACACACAATAGTAGATGACATTAGTACCAAACGTGGACCCCTCATGGTAGACAAAAAAGAGGAAGACCCCGCCTTAGTTGGAGAGAAGGCATAAATCGAAGTATGAGAGAAAGAGAATTAGATGAAGACCTTTGTATGGACCGAAGTGAATGGTGACTAGGCATCGGAAGACGTAGGAGAACGTTTTAAAACCGATATATATATATATATATATTATATATATATATATATATATATATATATATATATATATATATATATATATATATATATATATATATATATATATATATATATATTATATATATATATATATATATATATATATATATATATATATATAATAATGACCGTAACTCAATAAAAACTGTTTTTTGAAAAAAGTAATAGGAGGCAAAATTTTTTTAAAAATAATGTGTTAAACTAATGATGCCAAAAAATGCATTTGTTTTGAACGTACTCAAAAGTTGGGGGATTTAGGGCTGCACACCTCCCTTAAAATTTTTCTATTCACTTAGATGTAGTTGTTTCTTTTTTATGAAAAATGATTTCAGAACAAGAAAGTAACGTGTCCATTTTTATTACAAAATGTCGAGTAGTTAGGAGATAATGCAAAAAAAATAATTTTTATTTTGTAACTTCAAAGGGCTGTAACTTTTGTGTAACTTTTTTGTGTACACTTTTGTAATAAGGTAAGTTGGATTCAATCAATTTATTTTTGTCTCCGGAATGCGTTAATTAATTTATGGCATGCCTTTTTGAAACACCCTGTATAAAGCCTAAGATTTCGTGAAAGACTTAATGAAAGGTTCCTAGTTTGTTACAAAGTTCTGACGACCAAATGTCAGAGATAAGTAATGTCCCGTCTGAGATAAAAAGAAGAATAAAATGGAAGTGGCTGTTAGGTTATGTTTTGACAGCGTCATTATTGTCTACTATGCGTAAGTCATCAAGTTAGAATCTCGATGGCTTAAGTCAAACATTACGACAATGTAAAAACACTATGCAAAAATCTAGATGTTAAAAATATAACACTCGTTAAAGATTTTAAATTAAATTTAATAAGGGATGAGCAAAAATAGATTTGTATTTAATTTCCTATAATATATAGGTAATCTACTTTTAAGAAGATGCTGTTAAAATCAGTTGTGATGTTTAACGTAACTGACTAGGGAAGGAAATATTAAAATAAACAATCTGGTGGGACTTGTAGCAACTTTTTTTGAGTGTAAATTAAGCTTTTGAAACTACTCTTTTTTGTTTTCAAACAAACTAACTATTTGAGAAAATGATTTCTTAGATAAAACAGTCGCAGCTTGCGATTATTAGAATCGTTATTACTTTTAAAATATATTTATTGTGAAAATATACGCATAAGTATTGAAATACTTGTAATAATATACCAATAAATAACTATACCCATCAATTAAATAAACCTGCTATATTTAATTTACAATAAATAAGGTAGAATAATGCATTATGAAGGTTATATAGCCATTGACCTAGAACCTAACACTAAAAGTCAAGTTGATCATATATTTAAGTTTTGCAGTAAAAAGTAAATATTAGTCATTACTTGAATAATAATACAATTATAAATATCAGAATTGCAAATGTATTAAAATTTTTAAAATTTATGGCTAGATATTTATCTGTCTATACCCGTTTAGTGTATATTAATATAATCTGTGTTAGATTAACGTTATTCTTGAGTATTACGGACCAGCATTTCTTAATTAACAAAAACAAAAATATAACTGATGAAAAGGTTACTGCTGTGAGCACATATTCATGAATGTTAGGTAAATAAGTCTTCTAGTCACAATCCATTATAAGTTTTATTGAAGTTGAAAAGTTGAAAACCTAAACGGATTATGAGCAAAAGACTTATTTCCCTAACACTTAAAAATATAACTTTTTAACACTACGCCAGAACCATAGTTTCCAGTGATTGTGTAAACGATGGAAATCTAAGTTAAAAAGGAAATAATAAAATACGTTCATTTAAAAATGATATTACACTGGAGCTCAAGACTCACAACAACAAAAGGTCATAATCTTCTAAAAGCAATGACCGACAACAACTATGATTACCACACCAACGAAATCCCTACGTACTGGCCGAGTGACCCCAGAAAACTTCAAGATCTGCTGGACTACTACATAAGCCAAGGAGTGTCCAGAAACAACTGTCGAATAGAATCCAGATAAAATCTCTCATCGAATCTTCTTCTTCTTCTTCAAGTACCATCTCCGCTACGGAGGTTGGCAATCATCATAGCTATTTTAATTTTTGAGGGAGTAGCTCTAAATAGTTGTTTTGAGCTGCATCCAAACCAAACCAACAAGAAATTCTCGCCCCGCATCACATGTCCGATATACCTATACCAACTTCTTTCTCTTTACCTATTCTTCCTAGTACTTCATTGTTCGTAACTCTACCCTAGAACTCTACCCAGGAAACCCTCATAATTCTTCTATATGTCCACATTTCAAAGGCGTTAAGTCGTCTTGAATACATCGTTTATGAGGTCTGGTCTGAACATTTGTTTTAATTGATGATACATTATGGAATATGTTGATTATATGAATTAATATGAAATATCCTGGCGGATCTATTACTATATTGGTTAGTTAAGTTTATGTGGCGGACACATAAACTTAACATCATACAAGTTTACGCGCCAACCAGCACATCAGATGACATAAAGATCGAGGAGTTCTACGAAAAACTGGAGACCACAATCGCTAACACACCAAATAAAGAACTTACTATAATATGTGGCGACTTTAATGCAAAAGTTGGCAACACTACACAAAATGACGACTTAAAGAATGTACTGGGCAAGTTTGGCATAGGGCAGAAAAACGAAAGAGGAGACCGTTTAATCAAATTTGCTATCACAAACAACTACTCTATCATGAATACTCGATTTAAACACCATGTACGACGACTTTATACTTGGAAAAGTCCTGGAGATAGATTTAGAAATCAAATAGATTACGTCCTCACCAATATTCGCTGGAGATCGTCCATTCAAACAGTCAGATCATATCCCGGGGCGATATGCGGATCCGATCATACTCTCCTCGTAGCTAAAGTAATGCTTAAACTTAAAGAACCCAACAAACAAAGAGAGATAAAGAGGATAGAACTAAGAAAGAAAGACGACCTTCTACAGGAAGTACAGAAAAGTATGCCCTCTATTCGTAACGGAACATCGCAAGAAATATGGGAGACTATTAAACATTGCGTAACAACACCAGTGGATCGCTCAAAGAAAAATAATCCGGTGAAACGGAAACACTGGATAACAGATGAAACTTTTAAAATAATTGAGAATAGAAGAAATCTCTGTAAAAGTGGTGTACATAGTAAAAGGGAAAAAGCTAGTTTAAGAAACATCAATAAAGAAATAAAACGAAGATGCAAGGCCGACAAAAAACAGTACTATCAAAGTATATGCAAAGAAATTGAGAGACATGGTCAGAATAACCAGCCAAGAGATCTATTTAGAAAAATACGCTACCTGACAAGAGACTTCAGAGCCAGAACTTGGGCCATTGAAGATAACACTGGAACCCTGAGAACAAACAGAGAAGACATAGCAGAGACATGGAGATCGTATTGCAGGGACCTATATAAAGATGATCAACGCCAAGAGCTTGTTAGCCAAATCTCTGACGAGGTGGAAGAAGAACCTGATATACTCGAAAATTAAGTAAGACAGGCTATCAACAAGCTCAAATATAACAAAGCACCAGGTCCAGATATGATAATAAGTTACTTCATCTACTCTGTAACCAAATATGGCATTCCAAACAATGGCCTGAAGACTGGACAAAATCTACAATAACGACCATACATAAAAAAGGCAGCTTCCATAAATGCGACAATTATAGAACTATCTCTCTTATATCCCATGCCAGCAAGATAATGCTACATATAATCAATGAGAGACTGAAAACATTCCTTCAAAGAGAAATTCCACAAGAGCAAACTGGATTTACCAAAGGTAGAGGCACTCGAGAACACCTGCTAATTATAAGACAGATAATCGAGAAATCTAGGGAATTCAACATCCCACTATACATCTGTTTTATAGATTACCGTAAAGCGTTCGACAGGGTCAAGTGGTGACACTTATGGCGAATACTAAAAGAAGTAGGCGTACCACAACATCTAATTACGCTTATAACTGAACTATATGAACACACTACTGGATCAGTTAAAGTACTTGACACACTTTCGAATGAGTTTCATCCAGAACAGGTTGTCAGACAAGGATGTATACTATCTCCACAATTATTCAACATATATGGGGAGTATATTATGCGAAGAGCACTTGAAGGATGGGAAAAGGGCATCTCAATAAATGGTCATAAACTAAACAACCTACGTTTCGCAGATAACACAGCCCTCCTTGCAAATAGTCAGGCAGAGCTGATGGAACTTAAACGACTGATCGAAAGTCAAATATTTGGTCTGCAATTAAACATATCAAAGACAAAGATCATGATAGTGGATAGACTACACAAGAATCATCCACACATAACCACAATTGACCGGTTCGAGGTTGTAAGCTCATACTTATATCTGGGATCATTAATAACAAAGACAGGGTCATTACAAGAAGAGATTAAACGTAGATGTGATCTAGCAAAAGTTGCCACAGCAAAAATGACCAAAATATGGAAGGACTGTCAAACTTCAAGAGCGATAAAGATGAGGTTGATCAACTGCTTAATATTCCCAATACTGACCTACGGATGTGAATCTTGGACTCTGAGACAATCGGAGAGAAGAAAGATAGACGCCACTGAAATGTTCTGTTGGAGACGAATGTTACGAATTCCTTGGACCGACCGCAGAACAAATAATTCAAATTTAAGAGAGTTAAAAGTTAGCCAATGACTCTCTAGTAAAGTCCATCTCCAACAATTAAAATATTTTGGGCATGTTATGAGAGCAAACACAGAAAACATGGAAAGACTCATAATACAAGGAAAAGTAGAAGGCCGAAGATCACGAGGAAGATCCCCAACAAGATGGATAGATCAAATTACAGGAATATGCCAAAGACCTATGCATGAATTAAAAGAAATGACCAGAGACAGAGATCTCTGGAGACGGACAATATACGACATCACGTCGACCACTACACTCCCCCTGGGGGGTCAGGATTGAAGAGAGATCTACTACTAACCAATTTAATAGTTGTCTAGGAAACCCATCAAATCTATTTAAGTATTTTTTCACGGCACTTTTTTTACAAGTTCTATTTTTGTTTCTTATAGTTTCAATAAATTTATCTAGGAAATTGGAAAATTTTGTTTTATTCACTTTAATTTGAGATTTAATGTTCATTCAATGCACTTCAAATTTCCTAGTAGAATCTCTTTGTTGACTGTGATTACAAAGAAATTGTTTAACAATTATGTTTGTTGAAATTAAAATTTCTTTAAAATAATTTCGGTAAAAACCGTCACATAAATTCAATATAAACAACTCAATAAAATTCACACAATCAATCATTTATCTGTAAAGAATACAATGCAAACTGTCAATTGATAACATATTACAACTAGAGAAAAACCTGATCGAATACGCATGAACAGCTGCAAGCCAGTATGTGGGTTCCCCTAGCGGTTTTTAAGGGTTTTTTGTTAGTAGTATTTTTTCTCTCAGAAATATCTCAGAAATAAAATAAGAAGCCAAGATCTTAAAGAACTAGGAGTACAGGATAATTAATATGGTGATATGACTAAGACTACTTAAGCAATTTTGGAGATATCATATTGACAGGATAACAGATAGATGGAACAGATATCGATGGAGATCAATAGCTAGAACTCCAAAAAAACATTGTTTGAGTCTAATTTGCTCCCCTAGATTTATTACAATTTTAATAAAATTGAATTATTCGATCACTGCAATATCAGTACATTTATTCTTAAATTTTAAAATATGACTTACCTAATGAAGAAATAAGATTTCCCCACAATTCTGCGGTCTGCCAGGCCAAGAAGAAGAACCCAAAGAACCTCACAATAATACCGTCGACTGCTTGGTCTGTAAGTTTCGCGTAAACTCCTGCAACTTGAGTGAGGTACGTAGCCTTCGATGCCCACATAGGAGCTGCGCCAATACCAACGAGTATTCCTGCAGGAATTAAAGTGTAAAACCTAGGATAAAACTGTGCGGCAATGTACGGAGCGTAACATAACAACGAGAAACAAAGAGTCCACTTAACGGTGAGTTTTTTAATAAGGAAAGTTGGCACGAAAATGCAACTAACTACAAGCGCCGCGTAGATTGCACTGAGAGAAACAGTACCGAGACCGTCTTTAGCATTTATACTACTTTGAAGATTTGCTGTTCCTTGGAAAGCTGTAAACTGGATCATGAAGGCGCATGATATAGCGGAAACGTTTTTAAGAATCCTCCATTTTTCCCTAGTGGACATTTTAAATTTGCCTTGTTGGAAGGCTTCTTCATCGGAAATTTCTCGTGGGGGTTTCTTTGGTTCACCATTGTTGGCATCTCCTTTGAAAGCTTTGTTGTCGTAGGCTCCAGTGACTGAGACTGTGTAGACATCGTTGTGGTTGTTAGTTCCGTCATGGCCATGGCTGGCATTGTCACCGCCGCTGTCGCCACCTACTCCGAGGGACGCGGTCATCTCTGATGGGCCGCGATCACCCTCCTCGATCTGCAACAATAAAAATGTGTTACTAAAATCAATTTATGTGTAATGCATGTAAAAATAAAGTATTACATTCTAAGGTCAAAATAATTCCAAATAAAAATACTTAATAAGAGAAGGAGTTATGATTGACAAATTTTTTGTCAGATGAATTAACATAACCAAAACAAACTACAACAAAAGTGTAATGTGCCGAGTTTAGATCCCACAGGACAGTTCTATCTTTGTGTTCTCTTCGTTTGAAAGTTAGCTACTATCGTTATAATAGTACAGTCGGGATGTCATTTAACCTTGCATTGTAAGTTAACCTTTAGTGGGGACAATGGTAGTGTATATTTAGCCGCCATCTTAAATTTAAAGGAGAACCATTTTTGCTCAATATCTCCGCCATTTTCAAGTTTTCGATAAAAGTGAAGTCGATAATAATATTATCGACTTCACTTTTCGTGATCACTATTATCGATAGTTTTCGATAATAATATTTATACTTTTAAATATTGTCATTTACTTATTGTAATTATGTTGCAGATTGCATGGTAGTTGGTGGTAAAAAACACGGACGGGGCAAGAGAATGCACCTCATTTAAATTTGCCGCTAATATTGAAAAATTGGCATTTTTCGTTGAATTAGTTTATTTGGGTGTTTTCTTGTCTTGATTGTGGGATATTATGTTAAGACTTTTTAATTAAGGTTAGGTCCTTAAAATCTCAACAGATGGTTTTGATAGTATTGCCGAATGGAACAAAAATAAGTGAGAGTTATGGGGCAAAACTACGAATGCGTATTTTTCCCCATTATTATAAATTAGTTTTGTTTCTAGTAATTAAGGAAATAAATATTCAATTCATTTAAATCTTGTTTTCTGTTTTTCAGAAACTGCAAAAGACAATTATAGCGCAATCCTTTGACAGAAGTTATTTTGTTTTAGCTCGTGAACTTATTAATAATGGCATTTTTATACGTCAGACAGTAACGGCAAAGGTTAAAAAAAGGAACTAGTGTTCAGTCTTTAGGCAGATTTAACGCAGGTCTAACAACCAAGATCCAAGAAAACGAAATAGTTCAGCATTGCAAAGAACTCAACAAACGATTTTATGGAATGACGCAAAAGTCATTGCATTTTTTGTGTAAGAAACCGTATTGAGTATCCATTTTCACCTGTAAATCAGTTGGCAGGTCAGGACTACACTAAATCTTTCATGAAAAGAAACCGACTATCTTTACGAGTTCTACGAGTATTGCTAGAACCATCGACTTCAATAGAGTGCAACTAGTTTCCTCTTCTTCTTTCAGTGCCCTGTCCGATTATCGAACGTTGGCGATCATATTGTCAATAATAACCTTATTCACGGCGGCTCTAAATAAATTAAAGGTGGTTTCTTGATACCATTCTCGGAGATTTCGTAGCCAGGATGTTCTTCGTCGGCCTGGGCCTCTCCTTTCGTCGATCTTACCCTGTATTATGAGGTGTAGAAGGTTATACCTCTCTGTATGTCTCATTACATGACCGAAATATAGTAACTTCCGAATTTTTATCGTTTTTGTTATTTCTAAGCTCTTTTTCATTCGATTTAAAACTATTTCATGTAAAACTTTTGCAACTAATTTAGTATTTTGAAAACACTACAAAAATATAAGTAAAAATATAACTCTCAACCGTATCTATAACGTCGATGAAACTTGCGTTCAGACAGTACCAAACCATTTGTCCAATCATGTTGCTCCAGTTGGAAAGAGAGATGTAGCAAAAGAGCTGCCGAGCAATCACAAACAATTACGGATGTTTGCTATATGAATGGAACTGGTCACCTCTTCTTAGAGTGTTGTCTCCCTACGGAGGTTGGCAATCATAATGGCTATTATTATGTTACAACTTGCTGCCCTAAACAAATCAATAGATCTGCATTGATATCAATCACGTAGATTCTTTAACCATGGGTTCTGCCTTCGGCCAACAGATCTTCTTCCTTGAACTGGTCACCACGTCCCTCCATTTTTCTTATTTGCTCGAAAATGGATTAATCTTTTAATCAAACACAAGCCTAATGCCTGCTACATGGCTATTACTGATAATGGTTACATGAACACTACCACGTTTATCAAGTACCTAAAGAATTTTAAAAAACATACTAGTCCTACAGGGAAGAACCCCGTTGTTTTGATTGTATATAATTATGTATTGCACACAAGTTTTCAAGCAGTAACATTTGCAAAAGATAATTTCATCCATTTATTACGTCTGCCACCACATAGCAGCCATAAGATCCAGCCACCCGATCCGGCATTTTTCAAACCATTAAAAGCTTATTATGAAAGCGTCGCTGACACCTGGACCAGTTTCCATTCAGGACAGGTTCTCTCCATTTATCATGTGGCTGGTGTCTTTTCCACTGTAGTTTAGGACCATTTTTAGGACTTTTCATGCAGTAAAATCCTACTAAAAATCGTCCTACATGATCGTATGTATAGAAAGTGCGAAACAATCTTCGGAGACGATCAGTTTGGATTCAGAGCCGGCATGGAAACGAGAGAAGCCCTGTTCAGTTTACTAGTTCTCGCCCAAAAATGCTACGACCAACATAAAGATACATTTATGTGCTTTATAGACTTCGAAAAAGCATTTGATAGAGTAAGACACGACCTACTATTAGAACGTTTGCAAGAAGTCGGTTTAGATGGAAAAGACATCAAATTCTTAAAAAACTTATACTGGAACCAAAACGCCAGAGTTAGGATAGAAGGTTCCACATCCGCAGAAGTAGAAATTAGAAGAAGAGTTAGACAAGGATGTGTTCTGTCGCCTCTGCTGTTTAATCTTTACTCCGAGTTTCTATTTAAAGAAGCATTGGAGGATTCCAAGGATGGAGTCAATATGAATGGCGTAAATATCAACAGTATCAGAATCGCCGATGATACAGTGTTAATTGCGGATTCCATCTTAGGTCTACAACGACTCATCGACAAGACCAACTCGACCTGTGAGCAATTTGGTATGAAAATAAACATTAAAAAAAACCAAAGTGATGTCAATCCGAAAAAAACCAAAACGTACCTCAACCTTGCACAATAAATGGGCACATTTTAGAACAGGTCAATAGATTTAAGTACTTGGGATGTTGGATCGATAGCAGCCTAAATCCTGATCTAGAAATAAGATCGAGAATATCGATCTAGAAATAAGATCAAGGCCAGAAAATCTTTCGAAAAAATAAAAAAAACTGCTTTGTGATTCTCGAATAAAACTCGAAAATCGACAACGTTTGTCAAAATGCTACGTCTGGTCGACTCTTCTATACACAGTTGAAACGTGGACCCTTAAAAAATCAACCGTAAATAAATTGGAGGCCTTTGAAATGTGGATCTACCGGAGAATACTCAAAATATCATGGACATTGCATACCTCAAACGAAGAAGTGCTGCATAGAATAGGCAAGGAAAGAGAACTTTTTAACACAGTAAAAGTTAGAAAAACATCATACCTAGGCCACATACTGAGAAATAATAAGTACCAATATGCCCAACTTATAGTGAAAGGAAAAATCGAGGGAAAGAGAGGCCTAGGAAGGAAAAGACTATCGTGGCTCAGAAACATCCGACAATGGACAGGGCTAAATTTTGAACAGGTAATAAGAACAGCTGAAGATAGAGAAGAGTTTAAAATTGTAGTAGCCAATTTCCATTGAGGAGAGGGCACTTTAAGAAGAAGGTGTCTATTCCACGGCATTTGCAAACACTGCTACTGTAGATATAGCAAGAGTGGTTCCACAGGAATTTACCCTCTACATAAAAATATTTTTTCGGACTTCTATGGTTCACTTTGATAAACATTATTTTAATCATAGTCAAGTTTGATCTTTTTAACTAATCCATCTTTTTAGTTGAATATTTGTCTTATTTGTAAAATTCTATTAGATCATTCAAAAACCGTATACAGTGTGAAATTTTGTTCTAAGAACAAAACGAACTAATTTTTAAAACAAGACCTGATTTTTTCTAGTGTAAATAAAATAAATCAGTTGATTAGGTGGTAGTAGTTGTTACGTTTGACCAAAATATGAGACACAATGAACTTACGCGATTATAAGTGACCCTGTATATTATTAAACAATGGGGCAGACACTTTTTAATAGTCACTGGTTATTCCCCATAGGTGCCTTCATACGAGGTAAGAGTATGTACAGTTACTCATGACTCACCCTGTATAAAAAATTATTTAAAGAAATTTTAATCGATTTATATCATCTTTGTCATTTATAACTCATTGTGAATAATATTTTAATGCTACAATCATATGTATAAAATGTATTGTAAGAAAAATTAATCTTCGTTTTAAAATGATTCGAATAAACAAACATGAAGGTGTTGTTCACTTGACAACGAATGTCATTTTAATAAACAGAACCAGACCTTACACGTTTTTTCATTATTTCATAACGTTACTTTCTGAATATAAAGCAGAATATTAGATAAACCGGTTGTTAGATTGATCTGATTGCAAAATAACAGTTAGGAGAGTTGTTTACTTTACGAGATCATTGCTATAACTAAGTTTATTTCTGTCCAGATTAACAAAAATTGTTTTCTAAAGATTGAAGCATTTGACTTTTTAATGCGCTTTTAAATCGAGGATTTAATAGTTATTTGGTTTTTAAATTTGCTAAATAAAATACAACCTGTTTAAATGGGCCATATTTCTTAAAATCCAGGTATTAATGGCTATAAGAAAACAGATTATATAGTTTAGGGCTGGTGGCTTTAATACTTAATAAATTCACACAAATCCTAACAAAAATCAATTTGGAAAAACAAGTCCGGTCGCCACTTATTCTTTGTGTGCTTCATCTTTTAAGGACATTGGCGATCATCATGGCCTATTTTACTTTGTCTACAACAGTTCTACAAATTTATTACTACTGCTTAATGCTTTTATAAGCGTTTTAAAAGTTGTATTAACAAACAAGAGCTTTTATCCCTAGAATTGTATCGATATTTTGTAGATCATTAG